TGTTGTGTTATGTTATGTTGTGTTGTGTTATGTTATGTTGTGTTATGTTATGTTATGTTGTGTTGTGTTGTGTTATGTTGTGTTATGTTGTGTTATGTTGTGTTATGTTGTGTTGTGTTATGTTATGTTGTGTTGTGTTATGTTATGTTATGTTGTGTTATGTTATGTTGTGTTATGTTGTGTTATGTTATGTTATGTTGTGTTATGTTATGTTGTGTTATGTTATGTTGTGTTGTGTTATGTTATGTTATGTTGTGTTATGTTGTGTTATGTTATGTTGTGTTATGTTATGTTATGTTGTGTTATGTTATGTTATGTTGTGTTATGTTATGTTATGTTGTGTTATGTTGTGTTATGTTGTGTTATGTTGTGTTATGTTATGTTATGTTGTGTTATGTTGTGTTATGTTGTGTTATGTTATGTTGTGTTATGTTGTGTTATGTTGTGTTATGTTGTGTTATGTTGTGTTATGTTGTGTTGTGTTATGTTGTGTTATGTTATGTTGTGTTATGTTGTGTTATGTTGTGTTATGTTATGTTGTGTTATGTTGTGTTATGTTGTGTTATGTTATGTTGTGTTGTGTTATGTTGTGTTATGTTGTGTTATGTTATGTTGTGTTATGTTGTGTTATGTTGTGTTATGTTATGTTGTGTTATGTTGTGTTATGTTGTGTTATGTTGTGTTATGTTATGTTGTGTTATGTTATGTTGTGTTGTGTTATGTTGTGTTATGTTGTGTTGTGTTGTGTTATGTTATGTTATGTTGTGTTATGTTGTGTTATGTTGTGTTATGTTATGTTGTGTTATGTTGTGTTATGTTGTGTTATGTTATGTTGTGTTATGTTGTGTTATGTTGTGTTATGTTATGTTGTGTTATGTTGTGTTATGTTGTGTTATGTTGTGTTATGTTATGTTGTGTTATGTTATGTTATGTTATGTTGTGTTATGTTATGTTGTGTTATGTTGTGTTATGTTGTGTTATGTTATGTTGTGTTATGTTGTGTTATGTTATGTTGTGTTATGTTATGTTATGTTGTGTTATGTTGTGTTATGTTGTGTTATGTTATGTTGTGTTATGTTGTGTTATGTTATGTTGTGTTATGTTATGTTATGTTGTGTTATGTTGTGTTATGTTATGTTGTGTTATGTTATGTTATGTTGTGTTATGTTATGTTGTGTTATGTTGTGTTATGTTGTGTTATGTTGTGTTATGTTATGTTGTGTTATGTTATGTTGTGTTATGTTATGTTATGTTGTGTTATGTTGTGTTATGTTGTGTTATGTTATGTTGTGTTATGTTGTGTTATGTTGTGTTATGTTGTGTTATGTTGTGTTATGTTATGTTATGTTGTGTTATGTTATGTTGTGTTATGTTATGTTATGTTGTGTTATGTTGTGTTATGTTGTGTTATGTTATGTTGTGTTATGTTATGTTATGTTGTGTTATGTTGTGTTATGTTGTGTTATGTTATGTTGTGTTATGTTGTGTTATGTTGTGTTATGTTGTGTTATGTTATGTTGTGTTATGTTATGTTATGTTGTGTTATGTTATGTTATGTTGTGTTATGTTATGTTATGTTGTGTTATGTTGTGTTATGTTATGTTGTGTTATGTTGTGTTATGTTGTGTTATGTTGTGTTATGTTATGTTATGTTATGTTGTGTTATGTTGTGTTGTGTTATGTTGTGTTATGTTATGTTGTGTTATGTTGTGTTATGTTATGTTATGTTGTGTTATGTTGTGTTGTGTTATGTTGTGTTATGTTATGTTGTGTTATGTTGTGTTATGTTATGTTGTGTTATGTTGTGTTATGTTGTGTTATGTTGTGTTATGTTATGTTATGTTGTGTTATGTTATGTTGTGTTATGTTGTGTTATGTTGTGTTATGTTGTGTTATGTTATGTTATGTTGTGTTATGTTATGTTGTGTTATGTTGTGTTATGTTGTGTTATGTTATGTTGTGTTATGTTGTGTTATGTTGTGTTATGTTGTGTTATGTTGTGTTATGTTATGTTATGTTATGTTATGTTATGTTATGTTGTGTTATGTTATGTTGTGTTATGTTATGTTATGTTGTGTTATGTTATGTTGTGTTGTGTTATGTTGTGTTATGTTGTGTTATGTTATGTTGTGTTATGTTGTGTTATGTTATGTTATGTTGTGTTATGTTGTGTTATGTTATGTTATGTTGTCTTATGTTATGTTATGTTGTGTTATGTTGTGTTGTGTTATGTTGTGTTATGTTGTGTTATGTTATGTTATGTTGTGTTATGTTGTGTTATGTTATGTTGTGTTATGTTATGTTGTGTTATGTTGTGTTATGTTATGTTATGTTGTGTTATGTTGTGTTGTGTTATGTTGTGTTATGTTATGTTGTGTTATGTTATGTTGTGTTATGTTGTGTTATGTTATGTTGTGTTGTGTTATGTTGTGTTATGTTATGTTGTGTTATGTTATGTTATGTTGTGTTATGTTGTGTTATGTTATGTTGTGTTATGTTATGTTGTGTTATGTTGTGTTATGTTATGTTATGTTGTGTTATGTTGTGTTGTGTTATGTTGTGTTATGTTATGTTGTGTTATGTTATGTTGTGTTATGTTGTGTTATGTTATGTTGTGTTGTGTTATGTTGTGTTATGTTATGTTGTGTTATGTTATGTTATGTTGTGTTATGTTGTGTTGTGTTATGTTGTGTTATGTTGTGTTATGTTATGTTGTGTTATGTTATGTTATGTTATGTTATGTTGTGTTATGTTGTGTTATGTTATGTTATGTTGTGTTATGTTGTGTTATGTTGTGTTATGTTATGTTGTGTTATGTTGTGTTATGTTGTGTTATGTTGTGTTGTGTTGTGTTATGTTATGTTGTGTTATGTTATGTTATGTTGTGTTATGTTGTGTTATGTTGTGTTATGTTGTGTTATGTTATGTTATGTTGTGTTATGTTATGTTATGTTGTGTTATGTTATGTTATGTTGTGTTATGTTATGTTGTGTTATGTTGTGTTATGTTGTGTTGTGTTATGTTGTGTTATGTTGTGTTATGTTGTGTTATGTTGTGTTGTGTTATGTTATGTTGTGTTATGTTATGTTATGTTATGTTGTGTTATGTTATGTTATGTTGTGTTATGTTGTGTTATGTTGTGTTGTGTTATGTTGTGTTGTGTTATGTTGTGTTATGTTATGTTGTGTTATGTTGTGTTATGTTGTGTTGTGTTATGTTGTGTTGTGTTATGTTGTGTTGTGTTATGTTGTGTTATGTTGTGTTATGTTGTGTTGTGTTATGTTGTGTTGTGTTATGTTGTGTTGTGTTATGTTGTGTTATGTTGTGTTGTGTTATGTTGTGTTGTGTTATGTTGTGTTGTGTTATGTTGTGTTATGTTGTGTTATGTTGTGTTGTGTTATGTTGTGTTATGTTATGTTATGTTGTGTTGTGTTATGTTGTGTTATGTTGTGTTATGTTGTGTTATGTTGTGTTATGTTGTGTTGTGTTATGTTGTGTTGTGTTATGTTGTGTTATGTTGTGTTATGTTGTGTTGTGTTATGTTGTGTTGTGTTATGTTGTGTTATGTTATGTTATGTTATGTTATGTTATGTTGTGTTGTGTTATGTTGTGTTATGTTGTGTTATGTTATGTTATGTTGTGTTGTGTTATGTTATGTTATGTTGTGTTGTGTTATGTTGTGTTGTGTTATGTTGTGTTATGTTGTGTTGTGTTGTGTTATGTTGTGTTATGTTATGTTATGTTATGTTATGTTGTGTTATGTTATGTTGTGTTATGTTGTGTTATGTTATGTTGTGTTATGTTGTGTTATGTTATGTTATGTTGTGTTGTGTTATGTTATGTTATGTTGTGTTATGTTATGTTGTGTTATGTTGTGTTATGTTATGTTATGTTATGTTGTGTTGTGTTATGTTGTGTTGTGTTATGTTATGTTATGTTGTGTTATTTTGTGTTATGTTATGTTATGTTGTGCATGTACGAAGGGATCAAACAGGCAAGCGGCCCTACACAAAACAGGACGGCTCCTCTGAAGTCAGCCACTGGAGAGATCATTAAAGATCGTGATCAACAGATGAATCGCTGAGTAGAACATTACTCCAGAGAGAACTTGGTCAGCGTAGAGGCTTTGAATGCAATCGAGTACCCGCTCATCATAGAAGAACTTGATCTTGAACCGACTGCAGAATAAGTGAAAAAGCACTGGATTCACTTCCTCAGGGAATGCTCCAGTAGACGACGGGATTCCACATGACGTTCTCAAGTGCGCTCTTGAAACACTTTAAACTGAGCTTCTGTGCCAGTGCTGGAGGGAGGGCTCGGTGCCACAAGACATGAGAGACGCAAACATCATCAAATCAAATCAAATGTTTATTTAGGTAAGGTACATACATACAAGAGATTTTACAAAGAGTGATGGATTTATAGGTAGGGCTAGTACATACAATGCCTAAAGCCACTATTACGCAAGGCGTTTCAGGCATCACTTTCTACAAAAATAAAGATGACAGAAGCGATGTCAACAACTATCGCGGCGTCTCTCTCCTCAGCGTCGTTGGCAAAATCCTCGCTAGGGGCCTCTTGGTCAGGCTTCAGATTCTTGCTGTAGTGTACCCCGAGTCACAGTGTGGTGTCCGAGCAGAGATGTCGACCACTAACATGGTGTTCTCCCTGAGACAGCTTCAAGAAAAGTGCAGGGAGCAGAGCCTTGTACATCACCTTCATTGACCTTACAAAGGCCTTCGACCTCGTGAGCAGGGAAGGACTCTTCAAGGTCTTGGTCATTAGGCTATTTTCTTTGAGAGAGAGTATGATACAAAATTTTTAGTGTGATACTCTTATAGTTATAATTTTTGTATCATACTCTCACAGTTATATTTTTTTATCATAGTCTAATAGTTATAATTTTTCCTAATATATCAAGACAAATGAAAAGGCTGTTTGTATTTTGAATGATTTATTTAGCAAGATCATTTTTAAGGATATGTTTATATATATTATATATATATATATATATATAAAGTGCAATAGGCCATAAAATCGTTTATCAATATATAACAATTATCTTTTGTTAAATTATGTTGTAATTATCAGAATTGTTAAAGTTTCCCCTCTAGGTTCAGGTCTTATGATACTTAATACTGACTTTGTATGTATATAATATACACGTTGTATAACTTTAATACATATTTAGTATTTCTTCAAGCAACCTTTATTTTACAAATCATATTTTATTAGACACAATGAAATCACATTAACGCGATGAATCTATGAGAAAATCAGTATAATCCTACTGATTTCCTCATTGTTTTGTAATTAATAACGAATAATCAGCTTTGGAGGAAGGCAGGAAATTATCAGGGGGAAAGCACCAAGTCGTTACGACTATATAGCACTGGGAAGGGGTTAGGATAAGGATTTGGGAGTGGACGGGGGAAAGGAATGGTGCCCAACCACTTGGACGGTCTGGGACTGAACGCCGACCTGTATGAATCCAGATCGTCGCTCTACCGTCCACCCCAAGTGGTTGGGCAGGAGTGTTCATGTGAATTATGTCTATTGTTTGATGGGCTGATCAGTTCTTGGGTTTGGCTTCGCAAATGACAGCAGGAGCGCTACCACCTGCTTGGCGCCCCACAGCGTAGTGACGTCGGCCTCCTGCAGGAACCAGCACCATGTTGCTTGGGTCTAGTGTATTCTGGGGGGACCCGGACACCCAGCTGCGTCAGGAGACATATAACCATATTTATCAGTCCTCACATCACAACAAAAATGCATTTTATATTACAAAAACATGTATTATTACTGTCATATAATGTATTTTAAACCACAAGTAATCCCATACATTAGAAATTACATATTTGTTAGCTTTAGTGTTTTTTGAGTTGTCAAGAAAGGTCATTGAGCATTGCAGCAGTAGTACGGTACTTATATGTGCACCTTGGGGTCAATACAGCAGGATACAGTACTCACATGAGCAACTTGGGGTCAATACAGCAGGATACAGTACTCACATGAGCAACTTGGGGTCAATACAGCAGGATACAGTACTCACATGAGCAACTTGGGGTCAATACAGCAGGATACAGTACTCACATGAGCAACTTGGGGTCAATACAGCAGGATACAGTACTCATATGAGCAACTTGGGGTCAATACAGCAGGATACAGTACTCACATGAGCAACTTGGGGTCAATACAGCAGGATACAGTACTCACATGTGCAACTTGGGGTCAATACAGCAGGATACAGTACTCACATGAGCAACTTGGGGTCAATACAGCAGGATACAGTACTCACATGAGCAACTTGGGGTCAATACAGCAGGATACAGTACTCACATGAGCAACTTGGGGTCAATACAGCAGGATACAGTACTCACATGAGCAACTTGGGGGTCAATACAGCAGGATACAGTACTCACATGAGCAACTTGGGGTCAATACAGCAGGATACAGTACTCACATGAGCAACTTGGGGTCAATACAGCAGGATACAGTACTCACATGTGCAACTTGGGGTCAATACAGCAGGATACAGTACTCACATGAGCAACTTGGGGTCAATACAGCAGGATACAGTACTCACATGAGCAACTTGGGGTCAATACAGCAGGATACAGTACTCACATGAGCAACTTGGGGTCAATACAGCAGGATACAGTACTCACATGAGCAACTTGGGGTCAATACAGCAGGATACAGTACTCACATGTGCAACTTGGGGTCAATACAGCAGGATACAGTACTCACATGAGCAACTTGGGGTTAATACAGCAGGATACAGTACTCACATGTAAGACTTGGGGTCAATACAGCAGGATACAGTACTCACATGTGCAACTTGGGGTCAATACAGCAGGATACAGTACTCACATGAGCAACTTGGGGTCAATACAGCAGGATACAGTACTCACATGTAAGACTTGGGGTCAATACAGCAGGATACAGTACTCACATGTAAGACTTGGGGTCAATACAGCAGGATACAGTACTCGCATGTGCAACTTGGGGTCAATACAGCAGGATACAGTACTCACATGTGCAACTTGGGGTCAATACAGCAGGATACAGTACTCACATGTGCAACTTGGGGTCAATACTGCAGGATACAGTACTCACATGTGCAACTTGGGGTCAATACAGCAGGATACAGTGCCCACATGTACAACTTGGGGTCAATACAGCAGGATACAGTACTCACATGTACAACTTGGGGTCAATACTGCAGGATACAGTACTCACATGTGCAACTTGGGGTCAATACAGCAGGATACAGTGCCCACATGTACAACTTGGGGTCAATACAGCAGGATACAGTACTCACATGTACAACTTGGGGTCAATACAGCAGGATACAGTACTCACATGTACAACTTGGGGTCAATACAGTAGGATACAGTACTCACATGTAAGACTTGGGGTCAATACAGTAGGATACAGTACTCACATGTAAGACTTGGGGTCAATACAGTAGGATACAGTACTCACATGTAAGACTTGGGGTCAATACAGTAGGATACAGTACTCACATGTAAGACTTGGGGTCAACAGGTGTACCATCTAGCCAGCGCCACGCCTCAGCTCCGTACTCGGCGCCAACCCAGTAGATGTAACCCATCTTGAAGAGCTCTGTCAGGTAGAGTGGTGGGTCAGTGGTGGGTCAGTAGTGAGTCAGTCGTGGGTCAGAAACTCACCAGTCAGGTGTGAACACATATATAACCTCACCAGGATAGTTGTTGACTATCTCCATGCTGGTCAGACGCAGGAAGTCCACGTCGAAGTTGGAGAGGAAGTCGACGTTCCAGGTGTGGCTGGACATTCGTGTACACGTCTTCCTGAACACGTTCCAGGGCTTGGGACGGTTCCAATAGCTGAACATCTCGGTGCTGACGTTCACACACCGGTTCCCAACCAGGTTGAACTGCTCTGGACATTTCTGAGCTGTTGAGAGATGAAGGGGAATATTAGCTCACATAGGAGCCAGTAGAATGTTTATCGACCCATACGAGGCAACTAGCTGTTGATATCCACCTTAACTCATTCGAATATATGTCTGACCTGCGCTTGAAACAATCTACGGATCCCACATCTATTGTGTTACCCGGTAATCTATTCTATAAATCTCAAACTATTTCAAGCCAGGATTTACCTAGGTTTCTCCAAGCCAATATTTACCCAGGTCTTCCTGAGTCAGTATAGGATATCACCGCCTCAACCCCGGTTCACCAGATGATGTCAATTATATTTTGTTACTCTCACTTCTTGCGGGAGGTTTATTAAGCCTTAATAACCCTCTGGAGGGTTATTAAAGCTAACACAATAACTTACTGACTAACCAGCAAGTATACTTTAGTCCTGAATATAATCCAGTACCAAATTAAACTCTTAGAGTCAACCTCCTGAAAGTTTAAATTGCAGTTTTTACATACACTGGGTTACTCGAACCTCTCAGTAACGTAAAATAAACGTTGATTCGACGTATTGGCAGCGTCGTTCGCCCTTTTGATATAAATATGATCTAAGCAGGTGATTTCAACGTCAATTCAACGCTTTTAAACATATATATGCCCCATGATGGGTTAACGTTGAAGGAAGGTCAATGCAGCGTAAGACGTTGAATAAATCTACGTTGATTTAACGTCATTTGATTCTTAATCATACCTACCTTGGGCGCCTGTGAGAGCAAGGAGGCCAAGCAGAGCCAGAGACACCAAGACCTGGACGTGACCCATCGTGCCTGCGGTTAAGGGGGAACTGATGGAATCTGTTCACCTCGGGTCTATTTATAGCCTGTCGGATCTCGCTGCTCTGAGTTGCCTATTGAGTAATATTATTTATTTATTTATTTTTTCAGATGATGGGAACGTCCATTGAGGTATTTCCTGTCACCTGGTGATTGACGTGACCTTAATACTCAGGTAATCTTGAGGATTTTCTAATCATAAGGCAGTAAAAGTTTGATGCTTTTATTGGTCATTATTTTTTAGTTAATAGTTTGTGGATTATGTGAGGATGAAACGGATTTTGTGGGACAGTAAAACAACACACAACTAACATTCGAACAGTGAGTTGTCTGTTTGTCTGTCTATCTGGTTGTCTGTCAAGGTCTGACACTCAGGGTTTGAGGCTCACCCTTCTAAAATATCAGCCTCCCTCCAGACTATAATTTTTACCTAGTCTGAAAAGATATTGTGGATGTGTTCGTTACCCGTAGAGTTTTGAGGTACTCCCGCCGTTTACCTGCACATTGTCATAAGTGATTTGGAAACGAAGAACTGAATTTATTGGGCTGGCAGTGATGAAGATAGTGAGCTAGGAAGATGGTTACAGTGATGCCTCACACACACTCTATGTCCAGGCCTCACACAAGCTGTCTGGTCCAGGCCTCACACAAGCTCTCTGGTCCAGGCCTCACACAAGCTGTCTGGTCCAGGCCTCACACAAGCTCTCTGGTCCAGGCCTCACACACGCTGTCTGGTCCACGCCTCACACAAGCTGTCTGGTCCAGGCCTCAAACAAGCTCTCTGATCCAGGCCTCACACAAGCTGTCTGGTCCAGGCCTCACACAAGCTCTCTGGTCCAGGCCTCACACAAGCTGTCTGGTCCAGGCCTCACACAAGCTGTCTGGTCCAGGCCTCACACAAGCTGTCTGGTCCAGGCCTCACACAAGCTCTCTGGTCCAGGCCTCACACAAGCTGTCTGGTCCAGGCCTCACACAAGCTCTCTGGTCCAGGCCTCACACAAGCTGTCTGGTCCAGGCCTCACACAAGCTGTCTGGTCCAGGCCTCACACAAGCTGTCTGGTCCAGGCCTCACACAAGCTGTCTGGTCCAGGCCTCACACAAGCTGTCTGGTCCAGGCCTCACACAAGCTGTCTGGTCCAGGCCTCACACAAGCTCTCTGGTCCAGGCCTCACACAAGCTCTGGTCCAGGCCTCACACAAGCTGTCTGGTCCAGGCCTCACACAAGCTCTCTGGTCCAGGCCTCACACAAGCTCTCTGGTCCAGGCCTCACACAAGCTGTCTGGTCCAGGCCTCACACAAGCTGTCTGGTCCAGGCCTCACACAAGCTGTCTGGTCCAGGCCTCACACAAGCTGTCCAGGCCTCACACAAGGTCCAGGCCTCACACAAGCTGTCTGCTGTCCAGGCCTCACACAAGCTGTCTGGTCCAGGCCTCACACAAGCTGTCTGGTCCAGGCCTCACACAAGCTGTCTGGTCCAGGCCTCACACAAGCTGTCTGGTCCAGGCCTCACACAAGCTGTCTGGTCCAGGCCTCACACAAGCTCTGGTCCAGGCCTCACACAAGCTGTCTGGTCCAGGCCTCACACAAGCTCTCTGGTCCAGGCCTCACACAAGCTGTCTGGTCCAGGCCTCACACAAGCTGTCTGGTCCAGGCCTCACACAAGCTGTCTGGTCCAGGCCTCACACAAGCTGTCTGGTCCAGGCCTCACACAAGCTGTCTGGTCCAGGCCTCACACAAGCTGTCTGGTCCAGGCCTCACACAAGCTGTCTGGTCCAGGCCTCACACAAGCTGTCTGGTCCAGGCCTCACACAAGCTGTCTGGTCCAGGCCTCACACAAGCTGTCTGGTCCAGGCCTCACACAAGCTGTCTGGTCCAGGCCTCACACAAGCTGTCTGGTCCAGGCCTCACACAAGCTGTCTGGTCCAGGCCTCACACAAGCTCACACAAGCTGTCTGGTCCAGGCCTCACACAAGCTGTCTGGTCCAGGCCTCACACAAGCTGTCTGGTCCAGGCCTCACACAAGCTGTCTGGTCCAGGCCTCACACAAGCTGTCTGGTCCAGGCCTCACACAAGCTCTCTGGTCCAGGCCTCACACAAGCTGTCTGGTCCAGGCCTCACACAAGCTGTCTGGTCCAGGCCTCACACAAGCTGTCTGGTCCAGGCTGTCTGGTCCAGGCCTCACACAAGCTGTCTGGTCCAGGCCTCACACAAGCTGTCTGGTCCAGGCCTCACACAAGCTGTCTGGTCCAGGCCTCACACAAGCTGTCTGGTCCAGGCCTCACACAAGCTGTCTGGTCCAGGCCTCACACAAGCTGTGGTCTGGTCCAGGCCTCACACAAGCTGTCTGGTCCAGGCCTCACACAAGCTGCTGGTCCAGGCCTCACACAAGCTGTCTGGTCCAGGCCTCACACAAGCTGTCTGGTCCAGGCCTCACACAAGCTGTCTGGTCCAGGCCTCACACAAGCTGTCTGGTCCAGGCCTCACACAAGCTGTCTGGTCCAGGCCTCACACAAGCTGTCTGGTCCAGGCCTCACAGGCCTCACACAAGCTGTCTGGTCCAGGCCTCACACAAGCTGTCTGGTCCAGGCCTCACACACGCTGTCTGGTCCAGGCCTCACACAAGCTCTCTGGTACAGGCCTCACACAAGCTCTCTGGTCCAGGCCTCACACACGCTGTCTGGTCCAGGCCTCACACAAGCTGTCTGGTCCAGGCCTCACACAAGCTGTCTGGTCCAGGCCTCACACAAGCTGCCTGGTCCAGGCCTCACACAAGCTCTCTGGTCCAGGCCTCACACACGCTGTCTGGTCCAGGCCTCACACAAGCTGTCTGGTCCAGGCCTCACACAAGCTCTCTGGTCCAGGCCTCACACAAGCTGTCTGGTCCAGGCCTCACACAAGCTGTGTGGTCCAGGCCTCACACACGCTGTCTGGTCCAGGCCTCACACAAGCTGTCTGGTCCAGGCCTCACACAAGCTGCCTGGTCCAGGCCTCACACAAGCTCTCTGGTCCAGGCCTCACACACGCTGTCTGGTCCAGGCCTCACACAAGCTGTCTGGTCCAGGCCTCACACAAGCTGTCTGGTCCAGGCCTCACACAAGCTGCCTGGTCCAGGCCTCACACAAGCTCTCTGGTCCAGGCCTCACACACGCTGTCTGGTCCAGGCCTCACACAAGCTGTCTGGTCCAGGCCTCACACAAGCTCTCTGGTCCAGGCCTCACACAAGCTGTCTGGTCCAGGCCTCACACGAGCTTTCTGGTCCAGGCCTCACACGAGCTGTCTGGTCCAGACCTCACACGAGCTGTCTGGTCCAGGCCTCACACGAGCTGTCTGGTCCAGGCCTCACACGAGCTGTCTGGTCCAGGCCTCACACAAGCTGTCTGGTCCAGGCCTCACACAAGCTGTCTGGTCCAGGCCTCACACAAGCTGTCTGGTCCAGGTCCCACACAAGCTGTCTGGTCCAGGCCTCACACAAGCTGTCTGGTCCAGGTTCCACACAAGCTGTCTGGTCCAGGCCTCACACAAGCTGTCTGGTCCAGGCTTCACACAAGCTGTCTGGTCCAGGCCTCACACAAGCTGTCTGGTCCAGGCCTCGCTCAAGCTCTCTACTCCCGGCCTCGCTCAAGCTCTCTACTCCTGGCCTCGCTCAAGCTCTCTACTCCCGGCCTCGCTCAAGCTCTCTACTCCTGGCCTCGCTCAAGCTCTCTACTCCTGGCCTCGCTCAAGCTCTCTACTCCCGGCCTCGCTCAAGCTCTCTACTCCCGGCCTCGCTCAAGCTCTCTACTCAAGCTCTCAGGCACCACCAATAGGACTTATGCTGGTGACTTCAGAAATTGTGCTTGTGACAGTTGTGGCAATTATAGTACTTGCAGTAATACGATATATATAGCTCTTATAATGAGAGCTTTATTAACACAAACACTAATAAAGAATATGTAACCAGTACTCCGTCTCTCTCTAACTCCCAGGTACCTGTTTAATGCTAGGTGAACAGGGGCATCAGGGTGGCAGAAACTACCAATTTGTTTCTGCCTCCACCGGGAATCGAACCCAGAATATCAGGACTACGAATCCGAAACACTGTCCACTCAGCTGTCAAGTCCGGACCTGCGAGTAGAGAGCAATGTATAGCTCTTATGAGAGCTAATTTAAATATTTAGAAATGTGTTATAAGCCATAGTAAGCTTTTAACTCTCGATTTATAATAATTAATTGACTGCGTAAATAGTTAGAACTTTTTATTCTTATATTATATTTTTTTAAATTTTAATTGTTCTAAATTATTTTCTAAAAGTTATTAAGAAAAATAGAATAAATAAAAACTTTAATAAAGTAATATATTCTTTTGTCAATATTAATGATTATATCAAGCTGTTAACTCCAAACTTCGAACTCTTTCCCAAGTTCTCTGATCTTGGCTCCAGGCCTCATACAAGCTGTCTGGTCCAGGCCTCACACAAGCTGTCTGGTCCAGGCCTCACACAAGCTTTCAGGTCCAGGCCTCACACAAGCTGTCTGGTCCAGGCCTCACACAAGCTGTCTGGTCCAAACCTCACACAAGCTGTCTGGTCCAGGCCTCACACAAGCTGTCTGCTCCAGGCCTCACACAAGGTCTCTGCTCCAGGCCTCACACAAGCTGTGTGGTCCAGGCCTCACACAAGGTCTCTGCTCCAGGCCTCACACAAGCTTTCAGGTCCAGGCCTCACACAAGCTGTCTGGTCCAGGCCTCACACAAGCTGTCTGGTCCAGGCCTCACACAAGCTGTCTGGTCCAGGCCTCACACAAGCTGTCTGGTCCAGGCCTCACACAAGCTGTCTGGTCCAGGCCTCACACAAGGTCTCTGCTCCAGGCCTCACACAAGCTGTGTGGTCCAGGCCTCACACAAGGTCTCTGCTCCAGGCCTCACACAAGCTTTCAGGTCCAGGCCTCACACAAGCTGTCTGGTCCAGGCCTCACACAAGCTGTCTGGTCCAGGCCTCACACAAGCTGTCTGGTGCAGGCCTCACACAAGCT